AAACTCTTTTCGTTGCATTGGAAGTACGGCAGTGTACGGCAGTTTCTGGAAGAAATATGAAACACAACTAAGCTGCAGTATCTGTAAACTCTGATTTTCTAGTTCCTATATCTTTGCAACCCAATTTCGTAGACCTAAAACATTTCAACACAGTACTTTCACGTAAAACTAACTAATGTTGATCCTGTCTGTATCGGAATATTTTCAGTCATATTTTCAAAACTATACACACAGAGGAACATCCATTTCAAATGTACGAAAAAATTTCATTTTACTATATATTTTGATCTCTCATTCAAAATCCGCCGAAAGTAGCGGAAGAGACATTACATACTTATAATATTTGAAATGAATAGCCCGAAAAAATGTGTAAACTAGCATATAAAAAATTCTATATTTTATAAGTGAAAAAAGATAAAATAAAATAGATATTTAGAGAGTTTTGATTTATATTTATATATATATTCATATATAGAACATACATATATCAAACAATGTCATGTAAAATCAAGATTTGAGTTTGATGTCTAGGAATGCAGTGTTCATATTCAATTCTTTCTCATGGATGCTCTATACAATGATAATATATAGATAGATAAATAGATAGATAGATATCTCCAGGTAAGTCGTGCTGTATTGGGTAGATTTTATGACATAAATTTAGTTAAAGGGAATGACCGGCAATGTATGGGGGATAAACTGAGATTGCAGTATTGTAGAGAAATTATTTAGGATTCATTAAAATATATAAAACGTTTTAGAGATCTATAATTACTGAGTTTGAGAGCAAAGTCGACGTTCGAAATCAATAATTTGGGTGGGTACGTCTTGAGAATCGGTTTGTTTAAAGATTATTAAATAACGACGACAAAATTATAGTAAAAATTCTATAGTAAACTAAATAGATGTTTAGATTAGATGATTAGATATTTTCTAAGAATTTTTTCACAGATTTCTACAAATTCTTCAAATGTCGTCTTTTCAATAAAAATTCCAGAAAATCTGCACTCTGCATGAAAATCTTTGTAAATACTGAGAAGTTTCAGAAAATAATAATTGAATAAGATTACTTATTTACGATGATAAGAGTTAACTAATTAATTTAATGTAGAATTTGTGTTACATTTTTTTTGTCGTCTTTGCTTAATAATTGACAAAATAAACGATTCTCAAAACCTATCCACCAAAAAAATAATTTTGAAAGGCGACTTTGCGATCAAACGCAGTAAATATACGTCGTAGAATAGTGTTATATGTCTCAAATGAATCGTGAAAAATTTGTCCACCATACTGCAATCTTAGTTCAACCGCAATACATTGCCACTCACTCCCTTTAAAGTAAAGACTAGTTGGCATGAGATTATGACAATAAATCTAATCAAAATTAAAAAATACAAAAAATTATTTTACCCCATGGCCGTTGACTGGGGATTTTTCTTTTTCAGTTCTTTTTTCTATTTTTTATTACAAATCGGGTTATTCTTTCTTACTGACGGTTACTTTAGAAAATACAATTTGTTATCTGCATACAAAAATTACTACTCTAAGTTAAACGTAATTCTAAAAAACCCCTTCGCTCCATATAGCAGCCAAAAACTTACAAAACAAATAAAAATTCTAATCTAGAATTATTTTCTAGATCGCTATTTTCTCTCCAGTTTTCTCCATAAGCGCTGCTGAGTGGTAAGAGGAACCTTTACTTTGAAAAAAATTGTTATAAATCAAAATTTACATGGAAAAGTCGTCGTTATTGTATTGATATAATCGCCTACCACTGTACTTTTTCTGTAAAGTGATTCAGTACTCTCAATTCTGAACACTTAAGCCTTAATCTCTAATTTTCTAATCACCATATCATGTCAAAATTTAAAATTTTAAACTTTGACGATTTAATCAGAAGGCAAATTTCGTTCATTTTAGTGCTTTAAAGTTTTATTCAAAGTGAAATTTTTGAAAAAGTAAATATAAAGACTAAAATTTCAGAATTTATGCAGATTTTTTTGATTAAAAGAGGGAAAAAATATTAAGGGCGTGGGGTTTGAGTTCGGACAGAAAAGGCAAAAAAAATTAATTAAGGGAGATACAAAAAACCAAACACTTTTTCCTCTCAGAGCCTTATTTTTTAACGTCATAATGAAATTAATATCACAAGTTCTTTTGGATTATAAAGATTATTTGAATAAAAAATATCGGATTTGGTCAACCCTGCTCTATGTCTCTCGGGGATGTTTCGATATTATCAATTATGATTTAAACGGAAAGTAAATTTTGCAAGGATACATTTCCGGATAAATCGTGCGTTCCAATCTAAAAACATATATTCTCTCTGAGCTGAGGTCCAAACATGTCAACACGAAAACCAGAGATATAAATAAAGATTTTTAGAATACCTGGCTGATATACAGTTAAACCCTAAATGAGCCATACATCTAAAGAATTTATTAAATGGCGTCTTGCCAATTATTCAATGGGTGTTATACTATTTTACGTAAATCTCAGTATTTGCGAAAATAAATAACCATGAATATGCCGGAACAGTTTTATGGAGCTCCATATCATCAATTAATAAAAAACTGAATATCTGCAACATTCCATTATTAGAAAGCGAAGAATACGACATTTGATGAATTCTTTTGATGTATGGCTTATTTAAAGTTTAACTGTATAAATTATATATATATTTGATAATAGTCTGATAATGCCATAAGATGATGGTCGGATTTCTATAAATTATGAAATTAAATACATGGTCCCACGAAACATGACAGTTGGTAAATAGTTTTAAATGTCGTCTTCCATATTATATATTAAAAGGTGTTTATTTTGATTAAAAAATCTTTTGCTCAAATTTATTTTGCTTTGACGTTAATTTTACTATAATGTGACTCCTATATAATATTTTTATTATTGTCTTTGGTATTAAACAACTTAAACAACAAATTATGGAAGAAGACATTCTAAATTTACCATCTGAAGTTTCGTGGGACACCCTGTATTTTCCGAAATATTGTTCAGATCCTGAACCAAAGGGATAAATTCTGAAGAGGAAAAGTCTGACCAATAAATAAATATATACATATCTCGTTCTACGGAAGCAACAAACTTAGTTTTCTATCCCGCCATTTCTTTTAACGACTCTTATGAAAAATCAAAGACGACATTTAGTTCGCCATTTATCATAATCACTGCAGAATAAAATATTTTTGTGCTGAAAAAACACATTGGATTTCTTTTATGAAATCTTCCTACGCATCTTCATGATCCAAACCACAATACCATGCTGTTCTTCGTATGTCAAGACGGAAAGGTCCAACTGGAGAATAAGGTTTGCAATGTCGTCTTCAATGCTCTCGAATTTTAGAGAATCAACAATTCATATCCGAACAGTTCACAAACGCGTTGATCGAATTTAATGATCTATCTCTTTGTTTAGGATGATCTGAAGAATAAATTTTACAATCTATCTTGAATATAATTAATGTTTTTCTTTGGTCATTCAAAGTCAGCCAAAAGTATAAAGCAAACCCTCTCCGATTTTTAAGAAAATGTGCACATCTTCAAACATTTTGAAGAAAAGAAATATACGGAATATGGTGAGGGGGTCCCACGAAACAGCATAGAAACATAAGACGAAACATAAGACGAATAGAAGGTTGCCTTTGAATTTTTGAAATAATTTGCATCATTGAGTCGTAACACTTATTTATAAGTAAAATTCTAGAGTTAATAAAAAAAAATATCCCTAGTCTTGGCATTCATTTCCAAATCATTTTGGGCTTTTAATATTTCCGAAATTCTTAATATACAGCACAAAAAAGGCAGACCACATTTTGGAAATACCAGGACTAGGAAAATATTGTGTTTATTGTTTTAAGAATCATAAATATGTGCAAAAGTAGGTTGACGACTGAATGTCACAAATAAACTCAAAGATATAAGACGACTTTCGAGCCGTCTTGCTACTGCCATGTTTCGTGGGTCACCCTGTATGTAAAAGAAAAAGACAATAAAAACTAAAGTTCACTGTGACCTCTGATGTGTGCGTTGCATGGGCCTATATAGTTTTAGGCTCCAGACTGACCTCGAAAACTTCAAAGCTGTGAAACTTTTTGTTTATTTTTTAACGTTTATTTTTTATTTAATTATTTTGTTTATTTTTTGTTTTGTTTTTATAAAGATAACCGATAACGGGGTAATTTTAACAGAAAATTGTTAAGAACAACTACAGTGTTAACCAGAAAACTCTTTAATAGGAAGACGACTTTTAGACTTTAATTATAACTTTAAAGAGTCCAATAAGCCTGGGACACAGCAAATGTTCAACGTCAGACTTTACTTAATTAGTGATTAAATAAGTGTGTAGTAAACTAATTTGTTTTGTAATACCATCAATACTTGTATTTCTATAAAGTCGTCTTCCTATTGCGGAGTTTTCTGGTTATTAATGCATATCTATAAATAGTATAATAACAGTTGCTTTGCATCACTATCAATATTTTTTTGTTAAAAATAGAAAATGAAACTTTGATCTCGGTTTAAAATATAGATAGTTGTACTTTGATTTTCGTTATTTCGTGTGTGAAGGTTCATTGAAAGACAAAGCTTTTCTATTTTATATTTTTAACAAAGAAATATCGATATTGTTTATAAACTTGATCACGTGAAAACATTTAAATTCCAACTTCATATCGTTATATTTAAATATTTCTGGTCGTCGTTTAATTCTCATCCTTTTTAGTTCACCCTGAATAAATTATGTTTCATTATTCATTATTTTTTGTCTTAATTAATAGCAGCAGGTCCAAAACTGGGTGATTAAAAACTTTGATTTAAATTATGATTTTCTAAAAAAATTTTATTTTTATTCCAGCACTTTACTTTTTGCTTAATTAAAAAGAATGTAAAAATGTAGATATATGATTTTGAAATTAAAATTGTTCATTGTTCAATTAAAAATAATAGTAATCTTTAATTGTGAAAAATTGCAGCTCTGTTCAAAGTAAGAAAATTATTTAAATAAAAGATAATGTTTAACTTGACCAATCAAGTATTCTAATCAGTCTAGTTCATCCAGAGGAGGGGTTGTATAAATACATCAGGTGATGCAATCTAACTGTATCAGAGTGGCAATTTAGCAGTGTAGCAGTGTAGCAGTGATGTAATCTTACTGTAACAGTGCAGCAGTGATGCAATCTTTTTTTAGCATTATAGTACAGGGTGTCCCAAAAAACATGGGAATTCAGTGACGAATTCGATATCGTCTTTTCAAACAATTCTTTGATTTAGTATAGTGATACCTACTGAGAAAGCTGTAATCTGTAAGAGTTTCGTCTGCTATGTTTACATTTTGTTTGTTTATGTTTTGACTGCAACCGGTTGTACTTAGTAAAACAAGAAAATTACAGTATACAAACAGAGTAAACTTGTCCGTATTCACTGTTCATCTTGCGGAGACATTAGAGAAACATCTTTGCAGTCTTTTACCCTTTTCATCAAATAAACTCTAGCAGACATAATAATATTATGGCTTTTGAAATTAGGTATTACAATGCTAATTCATAACAAAGACGATATCGAATTCGTCACTGAATTCCCATGTTTTTTGGGACACCCTGTAGTGTATAGAAGGGATGCAATCTTACTTCACCAGTGTTGCAGTGATTTAGTATTACTGTAGCACTGTTTTAGCAATGCAATCGTACTGTAGCAGTTTGGCAATATAGCAGTGATGCAATCTTTTTTTAACAGTGTAGCAGTAATGTAATCTTACTATAGCAGTGTAGCAATAATGTAATCTTTTTATCCTTGTAGTAGTGATTCAATCTCACTGTAGCATTTTATCAGTGATGCAATCTTACTGTGGCAGTGTAGCAGTGATGTAATCTTACTGTAGCAGTGTAGCAGTAACGCAATCTAACTGTAGCAGTGTAGCAGTGATGCAATCTAGCTGAAACAATGTAGTAGTGATGCAATCTTATTGTAGCAGTGTAGTAGTGATGCAAAATTACTGTAGCAGTGTAGTATTGATGCAATCGTACTGTAGAATGTAGCAGTGATTCATTCGTACTGTAGCAGTGTAGCAGTGATGTAATCTTACTTCAGAAGTGTAGTAGTGATGCAATCTTACTGTAGCAGTGAAGTAGTATTGCAATAATACTGTACCAGTGTAGTAGTGATGTAATCTTACTGTAGCAGTGAAGTAGTTATGCATTATTACTGTAGCAGTGTAGTAGTGATGCAATTTTACTGTAGCAGTGTAGTAGTGATGCAATATTACTGTACCAGTGTAGGAATGATGCAATCTTACGGTAGCAGTGTAGTAGTGATGCAATATTACTGTACCAGTGTAGTAGTGATGCAATCTTCCTGTACCAGTGAAGTAGTGATCGTCCCTTAGGTAAATTTGAAAACACTAATTAACGTAAAGTATTTTAGGTGTTCTATGAAAGAAAAAAGCTTAAGACAGTTTTAGGTAATTTTTTTCAATTTCAATTTCAATTGGCATTCCATGAGGGAGTAGTATGAACGATTCACAATGGTTCCATTTAAATGTCTGATCAGAGGAGGAAATAATTGCTTAGCTGAAAGATGATAGAAGGGTTCCGTTCTGAATCGGACAAGCCACTGATGTGCATTTCTCTTATTGAGGTAGTGGATATTAAAAGTACCGGACCGACAATTAATCAGCAAGAACAAACTATAAAGTGTACAGTATACGTACCGACTCAAGACGTCAGAGCGGGACAGTATATCCACCAAATGAATCTTCCTTCTACTGACATTTATGTTCTCTATCTGTTTAGGAATGTTGTTTCTTGTTTGCTGGATTATCCTGACTTCAATGTCAAGTATCTCGGGACAAAAAACATTCTTGAGCAAGGTTGGGAAAGGCCGGGATCAGAAGATGTTTTTGATTCAAACCTCCAAACAGGTTCAGACTATAGAATTATCGTGATGGGTTACCCACAAGGTATATTTTGAATGCTGAATGCATATACAGTTCAAGCTGTACCAAACCTGATCATGCAACTTTTAGAGTTGTGTGTGAGTGTTTCTCTAAAATACACTTGTTTGCTACATTTTTTGAGTTTTAGAGGACATTACGCAAAAAATATGAATTCTCTCAATCTACGAGCTCTACAATAACCATAGCTAGCTAAAAATACTTAAGCGGCAGCTCACGGTTTCATTGTGGATTTTGGAAGATTATGGAATCAGCTGTTCCTGGCCAAGAAGTTGAGAATGTAAGCCGGAAGTGCGTCATTTAGACAAGGAATAGGGCAGCAGACATTATGACGAGCTTGTATAGTAGAGAGAATTAATATATTCTACAACCTGCAGCTTGTTTCTTTCGGTGCAAAATTAATTTTTGTATTATACTATAAGAAAAAGATAAAATTTTACATTGGACATATATGTACAGTGGTAGGCGATTATATCAATACAATGAAGACGACTTTTGATTTCAATTTTGATTTATTATAAGCTGTTAAAGAGCATAGATGCACATAAAAATAGAAGTCAAGAAAAGCTGTAAGTTTAAAAAAGATCTCTTTAATTACTTGTAAACTTGTAATTTGAAAAATGCTAGTTAACAATCAAAACGTAAATAAAAAGTCGTCTTCATTGTATTCGCTTAACACTGTATTTTTAAAAGTTTCAGATTTTCACCAAAATCTCATACTTTGTGGGTAACCCTGTATTTTTAACCCTATTCCCGCTGGGGGGGGGGGTCAATTTGACCCCCCCCCCCCCTATAGTTTTTTTTACATAACTCAAAAAGTATTGGTCTGAGGCTGTTGAAATTTTCTGACTTTTCTTACATACCCAAAGCCCTCCCTTTAGGCCTAAAACCGGGCTTTAATACTAACTGCCTGAGTCCTCAGGCACACTGCCTGAATGACTGCTTTTGTCTGTAACAAACTAAATCTTTGTTTTGACCCACTTTCACTTGTCAGATTTTGATAACATTTAGCTTTTTGGAAAGCCTATGACATAAGGAAACGGATTAAACAAGTTTTGCGGAAAAAAATTGCAAATTTTTTGCAAACAACCTGTCAAAGGAAATTTGCACATTTTTAGTTTTTCTTGATTAAAAATCGGGTTTTTTAAAATTTTGCAAAAATTTTTGCATATTTGAAATGGCATGGTCAAGGGCTTTTCAAAAATGTATAATTTTTCATTTTTTGGACAAATTATTTTTTGCAAACATTTTTACATTCAACATTGGAGAAGTGGTTTGATCACTTGTTCTATAAAGGTGTTTAACAAGGGAGAAGTGGTTTGATCACTTGTTCTATAAAGGTGTTCGACAAGGGAAAAGTGGTTTGACCACTTGCTCTATAAAGGTGTTCAACAAGGGAAAAGTGGTTTGACCACTTGTTCTATTAAGGTGTTCAACAAGGGAAAAGTGGTTTGACCGCTTGTTCTATAAAGGTTTTCAACAATGGAAAAGTGGTTTGACCACTTGTTCTATAAAGGTGTTCAACAAGGGAAAAGTGGTTTGACCGCTTGTTCTATAAAGGTGTTCAACAGGAAAAGTGGTTTGACCACTTGTTCTATAAAGGTGTTCAACAAGGTAGAAATGGTTTGACCACTTGTTCTATAAAGGTGTTCAGAAATTATCTAAACCGTCCGGAACCACCAAGTTTTAAATGTCCTGTTTGCCCTTTTGTAATTATTTGAGTGCAGCTATTAGAATTTTTTAACATTATCTTTTAATCAAAAGTTATGAACTGCATTCATAAAGTTTTAACTCTGTTTAAAATAAATCAAATATTCCTTCCAAGGTGAACTTCATTAAAATTATCATGTTACAGACACGCTTGTCCTGCAATATATAATTTGATCTATCATTATTATAGAAAAGTTATATCTTTATAAAAACCTTATTAATTACAATTAGTTTATTTAATAAATACATTAAATATTATTTATCAATTGGGAAATTACGTTCAGACCTAATCAAATTAAAGTTTTGAGGAATAATGGATGAAATAGATTATATTGTATAAAAATCCCCTAAAAAAAGATGCCGATCGTGTGATGCATGGACAGCATGCTTATATATGACAAGTTTTAAAGGTTTGACAAGTTTTAAAGGTTTTTTAATTTTTAAAAAACTCTAACTGCAGCATTAAAAGTGCTGGCAATGTTTAAGCAAGATTGCAAAAATTAAGTTGTCATGAAACATTTTTAAACGAAATGATGTGATGATGTGATATGTTCTTTAATATAATAAGATTTATAAAAAGTATTTTAAATTTTTTTTCCTCACATTTGCATTGGAACTAAATGCTGTATAGGCCAAAACGGATATATGATATATAAATTTAGGACCTTGAAACCAGTTTAAGTTACCAACAGATTGTTTACTTTAATGTAAAACATTTTCTTTAATTTTAGTAAAATCTTCTTTTTAAATGGTCTAAAATAAAATTCAGAAAGAAAGGAGCTAAATTTTTCACAAATTAAATGGTTAAAACCACCATGGTTTAAATTAATTACCTTGTATATTTCAATTTTTTACTGTTTAATTCAAAGTTTGAAACTTCAAAAGATTACGAATAGTAGGCCAGGTTTCAAAGATTATAAGGATTATAAAATTAGATTTTGTGGCAAGTTTTAAGCTCCCACCATAAATAAAAAAATTATGTAAAACAAACACCTGAACTGGGTTTACAGTAGATTGTTAACTTTCAGGTCAATAAAACGATTCAGCATAGTGTGAAAAATGCCAGCATGCATTCAACAGCTGGAAATGCCAGCATGCATTCAACAGCTGGAAATGCCAGCATGCATTCAACAGCTGGAAATGCCAGCGAAGGTGTTGATTATCAAATTGATTCTGGGTCAGGAGATGGTGAAGAAGGTGATGCCAACTATGATGGAGATACAGAAGAATATGGGGATGATAGTTATGGGGATTTTGGTGATAACGATGATAGTTCTGGTAATGATAATGATTATAATGATGATAATGATGATAATGAAGATAATATAATGATAATGATGATAATGATGATAATGATGATAATGATGATAATGATGATAATGATGATAATGATGATAATGATGATAATGATGATAATGATGATAATGATGAGGTTTGACTGACGAGGAATACAGTGGGGATGATGGCAATGAAGAAAACTATTATTCCAATACTGAGGAGTCTGGTGATGGCTATGATGCATATGATACTGAGGATAATGATAGTGGAACGTATGCTGATGATGACGATAATGATGGTTATTATTATTGATTGTATGATTTCATACCCGAACATAATCCAATATATACCATTCATGCAATTTGATAATAAAGTGACGTGAACAGTAGTTGTGCAGTTTGCAGAACAGGATAAAAGGCATAGAAAATAAAGTCTCGAAATCATAGATGAATTAAAATAACAGATAGGACATTATAGATGTCCTCTTTTGAAGATTTGGATAAAACTCGTCCACAATAACCCTGAGGCAGAAGCCCAGAGGAGTTTCGCGCAGTCTGCGTAGAACAGGCTTTCTCTCTCTTTCAGGGAATCATGAATATCAGGAAACAGAAACTATATATTCCGCTTAGTTATCTCTGAAGTCTCATCCTTCGTTAGTAACCCTGTATGTATTTCCAGTAATTAAAAGATGAAAAATTCAACGACGACATTTCTAAACGTATAATCAAAGATACACAAATACGACAATACACGATGCACACACATAACAAAGCAAAGAAAAGCTCCTCTTAGTTCCCATGTTTATGGTCAGGGGCGGACACAGGGGGTGGCGGGGGGACATTCGCCACCCCCTGACAGATTCAGGGATTTCGAGGCAAAAAATGTTCCCAATTTGATAAATCGTATGTGTTTTTCAATTTTAAGCTATTTGATTATTTTTTATTTAATGGAAACATAATAATTAATATTTATTGAAAAATTGAATCATCAGAAGAGAAGGACGAAAAAAATATTTTTCTAGCTTGTTAAAAATAAATATAAGTTTATAAACAACGATGTAAGTATACGACGACAGGCATTGTGTTTTGTTTTATTGGTACGCGGCACACTACACATCTTGAGTCTTTTCTTCAGTTTAATTTAAAAATCAACGACAACAAGTAAATGTTATTGTTATTCGATATAAAATGGAGTACCGTCTGCAAAGCATGTATAATCATATGGTAGGGCGAACCGCGTCAGTTATATCTCCCTTCTATTCCTTACTCCCTGCTTTAGTCTCACTTTAGCCCCAAAGGAATAAATGTACTTATCGATTTGAAACTTAATAATGGTTCATTATACTGTTACTTTATTTTCGCTTATTACTGTAAAGCTTAAAATTTGACAGTTCACAGTAATCTTTACACCTCAAGCCTTTTATCTTTTTGGAAATAAAGAATTTAAATATTTGAGTTTATAATCTTTACACAGAATCCTCTTGAACCAATTCAGAACAAATTGGTTTCCGCAGATTTAAATGAATATTCATGTTTTGGTATTTCATTAGAAACGATCTAAATCCAGTCCCCCTTCCCTTCATCGTGGGCAAAACTTAACAAATGTTATAGGACAGAAAGTTAATTAAAGACAGTTAGGAAGAAAGCTTTTGATCTGGAGGGATTTTCTAAGATTTGCCCGGGGTCACACTTGAAATTACTCTACACTGTCCCTTTAACAACGAACAAAGTAACGATGTTCATCTCTATTATTGAAAGGGGGAGGGGGAGCATATAAT